ACTTGATATAGTTGGATATTCTTTTAAGTTTGGAAATGGATGTTTCAGTTTAGTTAAACATAATCATTTTATTGGTTCTGGTGTGCTTTGTGATGGTTTGTAGAAATTAAAACTTGATAATTCATTTGCTGAGACTCTATTGACCCTGCATCATAATGTTGGTTCGAAACGTGGCTTAGTGGATGAAAGTTCAGCTTACTTATGGCATAAATGTTTGGGTCACATATCCAAAGAAAGAATACAAAGATTAGTAAAGAATGAAATTCTTCATGATTTGGATTTTACTGATCTTGGTATTTGTGTGGATTGTATTAAAGGAAAACACACAAAACACACAGTTAAGAAAGCAGCCACAAGAAGCACATAGCTCCTTGAAGTAATACACACTGATATATGTGGACCTTTTGATGTTTCATTGTTTGGTGGAGAAAAGTACTTTATCACTTTTATTGATGATTTTTCACGTTATGGTTATATATATCTGTTGCATGAAAAATCTCAATCGATAGACACATTGGAGGTGTTTATCAATGAAGTTGAAAGACAGCTAGACAGAAAGGTGAAAATTGTCAGATTTGACAGAGGTGGTGAGTATTATGGAAGGTATGAAGAAACTGAACAATGCCCTGGTCCATTTGCTAAATTCCTTGAAAGACGTGGCATTTGTACTCAATACACTATGCCAGGAACACCGCAACAAAATGGTGTTGCAGAAAGGCGTAACCTTACATTAATGGATATGGTTAGGAGTTTGTTAAGTAATTGTTCTGTACTCTTATCATTGTGGATGCATGCTTTGAAAACCGCAATGTATTTATTAAATAGGGTTCCTAGTAAGGCAGTTCCAAAGACTCCTTTTGAACTATGGACAGGAAGGAAACCCAATTTGAGGCACCTGCATGTTTGGGGTTGCCCAGCGGAAGTAAGGATATTCTCATCATATCTCATTCACATTCCTCGCCAGTGACCCGCGTACATGTACACGCCTCAGGTACACTGCGACCTCTTTTCATATCACTTCCGGGCCCGCGTAAACGTACACGCCTCAGGCTCAACACCTACCACCTACCGCGTAACCCGCGTTGAAGTACACACCTCAGGCTAGCAGTCTTCCGATAATACCGGGCATCGTCCCGCGTAAACGTACACGCCTCAGGACGGCACAATTTTCCACAATCACATGTCATGCCACATTTCCTTCTCACACAGGCACATGCTCAACATGTATTTACCAAACACAACTGGCCAATCACACGTGGCCCGTGCACGCATCAATTACACACAACCCATGCTGACTCAGCATTCAACACGGCCAATTTTAATAATTAAAATAATCTGGCCCACACGTGCACCCAACAAACATAATTAACTCAACCAATCGCACAATTACACATTTAATTCCACCATCCCAACTCAATTATATTCCAAACGCACAATAAACACAGAAATTGCTATTTTTCTCTAACCAAACGACGTCAAATCGATTTTGGTCCTTCACGGGACTTTCTCGCCATAAATTCTCGGTTCTAAAAATCCAACTTGCGTCCCGATCGGCCCATCACGGCCCCATGAACAGTAGCCCACAGCCACTGTTATTTTCAAATTTCCAATAAATATTGCCCAAATTAAATCCTACGGCCCGCCACAAAATTTCTACTCCCAATTCATGTAATTCCGCACCTAACTTTTACCAGATTTCGCCCAAAAATCGCCCGTCGATACCCGACGTCCTAAATTGGGTTTAGAGCGCGACTTACCCGCGTTCTAGGCTATCGCGGCTAGAACGGAAAGCGGCGGCACTTAATCGGGAACGGCGGCGACGACGTACGGCTCCCGGGTGGCGGCAATCGGCTTGGGTGGCGACGGCGCGGCTTGGGCGGTAGCTGGTGAGGCTTACGGCCAAAGGGAGGACCGAAAAGGAAGAGAGAGAGAACGGCGGGATGGGGGCGGCGTGGGGGGTGCGAGGCGGTGGGGCGGTGGTGCGGCGCGGCACGGCGGCGATTTGAGCGGCGGCGCGGCGGTGATCGGCAAAGAGAGAGAGAGAGAGAGAGAGAGAGAGAGAGAGAGAGAGAGAGAGAGAGAGAGAGAGAGAGAGTATACGGTGGAGGGGGAGGAGCTCACGGCAAGGGGAGAAATTTCAAGGGGAAAGGGGGAAAAGAAGAGAGAGGAGAGAGAGAAAGGGGGGTCAAGGGCTACTTATCCAATTTTGACCATATTTTGGCAATTTACCAAAATACCCTTGTCCTTTAAAACATGCCCTTTGATAGTTCTCAAGGGTAAAATGGTCCGATTCTCCGATTCTCATCAAAATCAAGTTTTTCTTAAGGATTCGGGCACAACAAAAATTGCATGTTACAACCGCAACGTCGTCCTAACGTCCCGTTGTGACTTCCAAATTTTCCGGTGTCCGATTGGGCTGAATTAAATAATTCAATTCTATTAAACGTAACTCGAGCGTTTCTCAAACTAACGGGCGGCTTGCTGGGGAAATTCGCTTATTCGACCCGTGACTGACACTAAATCGAGTCACGTGCAATTTATTCAGACCGTCACGACTTCGGTTGTCAATAAAATCGCGAGGATCAATTACTAGATCCGCGGGGCACGATCATTCGGTATAGGTTCAGGATCGTTCGTCAATTCATTTCGTGCTCCAGCGGTATCACCCGCGATCCACTACTGTGACAGTGGCGAATTGACCCCTGACTATCCTTAGATCGGCCAACAGTGGCTCAAAATATCACCTCGACGATTTAATGGTCGAAAGTCAATTCACGATCGAATTTTATTTAGTCGTACGAATTTAATTTCCCGATTAGCCTTTCCCTAATGGTTAGCATCCCAGGAATGATCGATTCCGAGCGAGAACTAACTACGAGTTCATTCATAAAACTCAGTATTTTACAAATCCCAAATGGACTATTTTTCAGGATGTCACAGCCTATATCCCCTTATATCTGACTTCATCCAGTCTTAGGCAGGCACCTTCTATCCTGAATTTTATCTTGATTACTAAACGTAGAGCGCGACTGTTATCACTTTCAGTGGCTTTGCTCGTACAAATTTGGGCTTGACGGTGAGGTCTCACCTTTGAGGTCTAGCTGTAATTCTAAGCTAGCGTCTTCCCATTCTCAGGCGGCTTGCTTAGTGCATCAATCAAGCTTGTGATGTTTTAGGTGAGTGGTGCCATATGGCCATGGCCGCCGTCGCCCCTCTCTCTCCCCCCTCGCTCGTCCCCATCTCTGTCTGCTCGTGTGCTCTGCTCTATCATCATGCGCTCGCGGTGGCCATGGCCAGTCAAGTTTTGTGCTAGTTGCAATCAAGAGCTTGGAGCTTGAGCGGCCATGACCGTCTCTCTCTCTCTCAAGTTTTCTTTATTCTTTGTTCTTTTTTTGCTTTTTCTTCTGTTTCTCTCTCTTTCTTTCAAATTTTCTTTTCCTTCTCATGTATGTTTTCTAATGTGGCTGTACACTTGGATGCCACCTTAGAGATCTAATGATGACTTGGATGATGATGATAGATTTGGGATTCAAATGAAAGTTGAGAATTTATTTTGACACAAAAAAAAAATTCAGGGTAGATTTGGGACTGGCCTAAATTTTGGGGTTTTTTAGGAAATTTGGCCGATTGTTTCTTGGGTGACTTGCATCGGTAGATCCGTCGTCTTCAACCCAACTACAGAATTTAAATAGCCATTTTTGAACTTTATTTTCTCACGTCTAAATTTTTAGAATTTTGATTGATTTTATTCAAATAAGGCAATAGTTATCAATTAGTTAGAATTTCCAAGTTTAATTATTTTAATTGTTTTTAGGTTTTCACTTATATCAATATACGTTATTTGCTGGATATAACTCAGATCTTGAAGATTGATTTTGAGAATAGTGTCGGGAGCATTCTCTAAATCACGGATGGGAACGTGTTGCGTTTTTATGCGTAATAGAATTTCTTTATCCTCATTTTTCGCCTATTTTCGCTGCGGGGAAAATTGTCCAAAAAGTTCTAAACCTATTGCATTTTTGCCAATTCAGTTCTAAACTATTCAATTTTGTCAATTCAGTCATAAACTTTTTACATCTGTATCAATTTAGTCCATTCAACCAATTTTGGCCGTCCGGCGTTGACATAGACACCGCCCGTCTGGCCAACGTTGATGTGGCAATTTTTTTAATATTTCAAAATTTTTTAGAAATTTTTTTATTAAATTTTTGTTTTTTTTTATTCCTTTTTTTCTTTCCTTCTTCCCTCTAGCCCGTCCAGCGACTGGCCAAAGAGAAGAAGGGCTGGAAAAAAATAGAGAAAAAAGGAAAAATAAAATAAATTCGAAAAAAAATATTTAAAAAAATTGCCATCAGTGTTGGTCAGACAGCTGGTGTCCACGTAAGTGTCGACCGGCTAAAATTGACCGGATGGAGTGAATTGGCATAAATGCAAAAAGTTTAGGATTGAATTGGCAAAATTGAAAGGTTTATAACTGAATTGATAAAAATGCAATAAATTTAAGATTTTTTGGACAATTTTTCCCTTAGCTGCGTCTTAAAATTCCAATTATCATTTTTTATAATTTCCCGTGTAACAGTAGTCTTCGGTCAATCACCTGCTGGTCTTGAGGCCTCGCTCTTCAAGAGGAGACGTAGGTTCGGCTAACGATAAATCAGATTTGTTTGTACCTATGGTTATACAATGCGTCATCCGTGATGACAAATCCACAGATGCCAAATTGGAGTCCAACTTCAACTTGGCTTTTCCCTTTGAACGAGAGGACAGATGGCACATGAAACCACACCTTCTAGACAACAGAGACAGAACTTGAAGCCGACGCTACACATTTTAAATCTATGTTTGAGGTCGAGGTTTCTCTTCATCATCCTGCACTGGCTTCTCTAGATCACTCAAATTCTCTTTCATGCGGTCTCTTGTGTTTTCTCTCCACTGATATGTAAACCCATTAGAGATGGATAACTAAGAGAGAAGAAACAAGAGAGAGACTTGAGATCAGGATGGACAATATGCAGAGACCCATCAAAGTTCTGATGTTGCCATGGCTTGCTCATGGCCACATATCACCGTTTTTAGAGCCAGCAAAGGGGCTTTCCAGGAGAAACTTCCACATTTACTTGTGTTCCACTCCTGTCAACCTAAGCTCCATCAAACCCAAAATTTCCGAGAAATATTCATCGTCCATTGGACTTATTGAGCTTCACCTCCCATCTCTGCCTAACCTCCCTCCCCATTATCACACAACCAAAGGCTTGCCTCCTCACCTCATGAACACCCTCAAAGTGGCTTTCGACATGGCGAGCCCCAGCTTCTCCAGTATCATCAAGAGCCTGGGCCCCGATTTGCTCATCCACGACTTTCTCCAACCGTGGGCGGTAGAAGCGGCGCAATCTCACAGCGTGCCATCAGTCGTCTTCTTTAGTGCTGGTGCGGGGGCCCTATCTTTTATGTTCCATGTGATCATGAATACTGGCAGTAAGTTCCCCTTCGAAGCAATTCATCTTCATGATTACGAGCGGACAAAACTCATCAAGTTGATAGACGACTCCGCAGGCCGCCTGAGCAACAAAGATAGGGCTTTACAAAGTGTTGAAAGATCCCTTTGTTGAGGAAAACTCCTATTGATTTTGAAGTTGACAAAACCTTCCATGATATTGTAAATCTGATACTTATTCTGAACTAATTTATTCCAGGTATGTATATTCTGGAAGCTCAGAAGGAAGTTATTCAGACTTTACAAGCTGGCAAATACCTTATTGAAGACCCACATAATCTTAGTTCTGAAGATTCAGACGAAGAAATTATTCAGAAGCAGACGCAGAAGTTCTTCAGATGCAGACGCAGAATTTCTTCAGACGCAGAATTCAGAACGAAACAAAACAGCTAGTGATCTGGTATGGATTTCACAGAAGGAAAGTTTTGATTGTTTCAATCTAAGGCTATAATTGATTGACAATCAAACACTACGACAAGTATGCATTACAACGGATAAAGCTCTACTTATGGAAACCAAGATTCTGATTGTATGGGCGACCAGAATCAGCGGGATTCAGAATCTGTCATCCAACGGCTACTCAATCCTTTCTATACAAATCTGTCCAAGGTGAAGATTGGTAGATGATCCTCTGAAAGCTGTCCAACGGCTAGTTTAGCAGTAGATGAGTATTTAAGGAGATCAACGAGCAACAGAAGGATATACAGAATCAAGAATTATCAAGTCCAAAGTCTGAGCATACTCCGATTATTTGTCTTGTCTTTCTGAGCTAAACATTAAGATCTTGAGGGACACTTTGTAAGAGTGATTGTGTGAGATAGAGAGTCCTATCATACACAAGAGTGATAACACTCAGAAGTTGTAATTCCTCTTGATTATATAGTGAAATCCAGTCGGTAGGCTGTAAGCATGGGAGAGTGGACGTAGGCTTGCTATAAGCCGAACCACTATAAACTTGTGTGCAGATTCTCTATCCCTTATCTCTTACTTTACATTCTGCACATCAAGAGCACCGTCTATACAATCTGTCTTGAATCTGAATTTTATTCAGACTCTTCTGTGATTTATTTTGTTTCCGCGTAAATTTATAAAAATTGTTTAAGATCACCTATTCACCCCTCCTCTAGGTGATCTTTGCTAGCTACATCAATTGGTATCAAAGCAGGTTGCTCATTTATTGAAGTGTTTTATTTCTGAGTTAACGATATACATGGCTAGCTTTAGTGCTCCAGGGCTCATTGAAGGACAGAGCAACAACAGACCACCATATTTCGATGGCAAGGAATATAGTGTCTGGAAGAATAAAATGAAGGTATTCATAAAGTCAATTGATCACATGCAATGGGATGTCATCATCAGAGGAGTCAATCCAAAATCTTCTGATTCAAAAGAAAAGGCAGATGCAAGCAAAGCAGCAGATCCTCCATTATCTCAAACTGAGATATCCAAAAGAGGAACCTTAGATTCCAAAGCAATTTATTCCTTATATTGTGCTTTATCTTCTGTTGAATATAAAAAAATTGCTGCTTGTGAATCAGCTAAGGAAATCTGGGATACTCTCCACACAACTTATGAAGGAACAGATCGAGCCAAGGAAACTCAAATCAATCTTTTGCTTGGTCAATATGAATCTTTCAAAATGATGCCTGAAGAATCAATTGTTGATATGTATGACAGGTTTACTGACATAGTAAACGGTCTTGCATATCAAGGACAACCGATCCCCGGATGCAATGAAAGTCGGCAAACTGCGAGAGGGCGACAAAGAAGTGGGATAATATCAAAACATCTCTTTGAGAGACACAAAGGATCAAGCCTCTATCAGTAAATGAGTTGATTGGAACTCTTCAATCATATGAGATTGAGCATCGGAATGAGGAGAATGAATCCAGAGGTAATAAGTCAATTGCATTAAAAACTAACATTGATTTTGATGCAGATTCTGAAGATGAAGATGTTGACGATGAAGAACTAGCTCTCTTCATAAAGAAGTATAAGAAAATGAAGATCAAAGGAAGAAACCTCAAAGGTAAGAAGCCTTTTGAGAAGAAGAAGTCTTTCGATGAAATAGAGAGATCAAAAGATGTTATATGCTTTAACTGTAAGAAACGTGGACATATCAAGCCAAATTGTCCACTTCTGCAAAAGAAGACCAAATTTGAGAAAGCAAAGAAGGCCTTAAAAGCAGAAACCTGGAGTGATACAGAGTGCGAAGACAGTGATGAAGATATCTCTAATTTCTGTCTAATGGCTAAGTCAGATTCAGACTCAGATTCAGATTCAGATTCCGATCCTAAAGTGGAAATTGAGGTAAAGCATTCTGATATGCCTATTGAAGTATCAAATTATATTGATGAATTATGTTTTGAATTTAAGACTACTATTAAAAGAATCTCTTCTTTGAAAAAGGAAAATTCATCACTGAGGCAACATGATGTTTCTCAAAAAGAAAAAATCGATTTCCTTCAAAAAGAATTTCATCAAATCAAGGAAAGTCGAGATTTTCTTTCCAAAGAAAATGCTGTTTTGAAAAATGAAGTTTCAGAAATTACTTTCAAGTTTTCAAAAGGTTCAGAAACCTTGAAGCATATCCTTTCTATCCAAATCCCTTACTATAACAAATCTGGTCTCGGATTTGTGAAGGAAAGTGATAGCTTGATTGATTTTCCAAAGGTCAAGGAGAGATTAAGACAAAGACCTCCTCGACAAGCTTATAAAAATCATTTCAAAAGAAATTTTGTTAAACCTATTGGCCGAAGTGCTCTTAAGTGCTCAAAATGTAGAGATCCACAACATTTTGAGAATGAATGTCCTAAGGTCTGGAGACCTGTTCGAAGAGACTTTGTTAAGACAACCTATACTAATCCTCAAGAACTCAAACAAATTTGGGTACCAAAGAAAATTTGAGATGTTGTAATTTTTGCAGGTTACCACGAAGAGAAAAAGAAAGTGGTACCTAGACAGTGAATGTTCTAGACATATGACAGGAGATCCGAGCATATTTGTTGAACTACAAAACCTGAATAGTGGAAAAGTTTCCTTTGGAGGAAATAACAAAGGAAAAATAGTTGGCAAAGGAACGGTTGAAATTGGAGGACTCACAATCAATGATGTTTCATTGGTAAAAGGACTCAACTACAACCTGATCAGTATAAGTCAACTATGTGATACAGGTTTCAGAATCAACTTTCAAGAAGATACATGCTCAGGAACAAGCAAAGATTCTTCTCAAACATTCACAGGAAGAAGACATGGCAATATTTATCTTCTAGATATTAATCCATACTCCACTCATTGTTTGATCTCAATCAAAGAGGATGAAGAACTATGGCACAGAAGATTAGGGCATATCAGTATGAAACAAATCTCAAAGATCTCAAACAAGAAACTGGTTCGAGGTCTACCAGATTTGAAATACAAGAAAACAGAGTTATGCAATGCCTGCACTCTAGGAAAACAAGTAAGAAGTTCTTTTAAGTCTATACATCATGTTTCCACTAATCGTGCTTTGCAGCTTCTTCATATGGATCTATTTGGACCAACCAGAATACAAAGTATTGGTGGTAAGAAATATTGTTTAGTTATTGTTGATGACTTCACAAGATTTACTTGGGTGTTCTTCCTTGCTCATAAAAATGAAGCATTTTCATATTTTTCAAAATTTGCAAAAAGAATTCAGAATGAAAAGGGCTATACCATTTCCTGCATTAAAACTGATCATGGGGGAGAATTTGAAAATCAAAGTTTTTCAGAATTCTGTGAGGAAAATGGTTTTCAACACAATTTTTCTACTCTTTATACACCAGAACAAAATGGTGTTGTGGAAAGGAAAAATCGTTCTTTGCAAGAAATGGCAAGAACTTTGTTGATTGAAAGCAAGATTCCTTTTCATTTCTGGGCAGATGCAGTTTTTACAGCATGTTATATCATTAACAGAGTTTTTCTCAGACCCATTCTTGAGAAAACCCCTATGAGCTTTACAAAGGTAGAAAGCCCAGTATCTCATACTTTCGTGTGTTTGGTTGTAAATGTTTTATTCTTAAAAATCCAAATGATCGTCCTGATAAGTTTGATGAGAAAGCAGATGAAGGATTTTTCCTTGGATATTCTACTACAAGTAAAGCATACAGAGTCTTCAACAAGAATTCTCAGACTGTGGAAGAAACAATGAATGTAAGGTTTGAAGAAAATATTCAGACTCACAAAGATGAATCTGAACCATCTCCCAACATTCAAGAGTTATCAGAAGTTCAACAAGAATCTCCAAAGATCGTAGAATATGTAGAAGAAGGAAAAGCAGATACAATACAGACTCAACCAGAACCTTCAGAGTCTGCAGATTTTCAGAAGGAACGATTTGACAAAAACTGGAAACATAAATCCAGTCATCCGAAGAACCTAATCATTGGAGAAATAGAAGATGGCATCAAGACAAGATCTAAACACAAAGAGAACATCAGCAACTTGGCGTTGATATCAGAAATAGAACCAAAAGAAGTTGGTGAAGCATTATCAGATGAAAGCTGGATCGAAGCTATGCAGGAGGAACTTCAGCAGTTCAGAATCAATAAAGTATGGGAGCTTGTGCCAAGACCCAAAAATCATCCAGTAATTGGAACTAAATGGGTATTCAGAAACAAACTGGATGACAAAGGGAAAGTCACAAGAAACAAAGCAAGACTGGTAGCAAAAGGCTATTCTCAAGAAGAAGGCATAGATTATGATGAAACATATGCACCAGTTGCAAGGTTAGAAGCCATTAGGCTACTATTAGCTTATGCTTGTTTCTATAACTTTAAATTGTTTCAGATGGACGTGAAAAGTGCCTTCTTGAATGAATATATCAAAGAAGAAGTTTATGTTGAACAACCACCTGGCTTTGAAGAACCAAGAAAGATTGATCATGTTTATAAACTCAAAAAGGCCCTCTATGGTCTGAAACAAGCACCCCGTGCTTGGTATGAGAGGTTAAGTAACTTCCTTCTGCAAAATGATTTCACCAAAGGTAAGGTTGATACAACTTTATTTATTAAAAGAAAAGGTAAGGATTTTTTACTTGTTCAAATTTATGTTGATGATATTATTTTTGGATCATCTAACGAACTGCTTTGCAAAGAATTTTCTAAGAATATGCAGAATGAGTTTGAGATGAGTATGATGGGCGAATTGACATTCTTTCTCGGCTCACAAGTGAAACAAACCAAAGGTGGTACATTCATTTGCCAAGAGAAGTATGCAAAGGAGATTGTCAAGAAGTTTGGATTGCAAAATTGCAAGAAAACAGACATTCCCATGTCTTAATCATCCAAACTGGATAAAGATGAAAATGGTAAAAAGGTTGATCAGAAGGTATATAGAAGCATGATAGGATCATTATTATATCTTACTGCATCTAGACCTGATATATTGTTCAGTGTATGTATGTGTGCAAGATTTCAATCAGACCCAAAGGAATCACATTTTTCTGCAGTAAAGAAGATAATCAAATACATTGGAACTTATCTAATGTTAGGTCTTTGGTATTCCAAAGATTCAGATTTTACTCTTACTGGTTATTCAGATGCTGATCTAGCTGGATGTAAAGTGGACAGGAAAAGTACTACAGGTACATGTTAACTACTTGGGAATATGTTGATATCTTGGTACTCAAAGAAGCAAAATACAGTTGCACTTTCTACAGCAGAAGCAGAATATGTAGCTTTGGGAAGTTGCTGTGCACAGATTTTGTGGATGAAACAACAGTTGCAAGACTATGCTATTGAAGATTCAAGTGTTGCAATCAAATGTGACACACAAGTGCTATCAATTTAACCAAGAACCCTTTTCTTCATTCACGTGCTAAGCATATTGAAATCAAGCATCATTTTATTCGAGATCATGTTCAAAATGGTGATGTGAATATTCAATTCATTGATTCTAAGAATCAATTAGCTGATATATTCACAAAACCTCTTGAAAAATCTTTATTTGAGTTCACAAGAAACAAACTGTGCATCACTTATCCATTTTCTTGAAGTGTTTGATAAACAGGAATTTTTCAGACTCAAATATTCTCAGTCTGAACATTTTTCAGACTCACAAAGAAAGGTACGTCCTTTATTCAAATTTTGGCGGGTATATTTTTGGCATTTTTGGCAGGATATTTTCATAATCGTTACTTTAGGAAGCAAATCAGGTACGTATTCTAATTTATCTGATTAATTGTGCTTAATATATTATCATGAGTGTTTGTGCTTCATCAAGTATATTTCCTTCCTACATTTTTGGAATCTCTTTTTATATTTTCTAAAAATAAATTTTCCTTCCAAAACCTATCCTCCTCCTTTATAAACTCGTCATTTTCTTTTCAAAACCCTATCGTACGAACTTTCTCTCTCCAAAACCTTTCGATACTCAGAATCGCCTTCTTCTCTTTGTTCTCCAAAAATCTAATCTTTTCACTCCAAAAGTGATCAAAATGCCGTTCAAGATGGTGGCTCGTCGAAGATCTTCACGTATTCTCGACCAAGACTCCAAGTCTACAGCACCAGCGGAATATATGGAGGTTTCAGACTCAGAATCCGACCATCATGAAGACCCTTCTGAAGCGACACCACCTTAGCGATCATTGCCACCGAAATCGTCTGGTAAAACTAATTTTCACTTTCGAAGCATCAAACTTGTGTGGAAAGTTTATCAAAGGTTGAAAAGGAATAATGCTTCTGCGTCGATCCTTCATGAATGTCTGAAAGACAACGGTTTTCAATCTGAAGCACATCTTGTGGAAAATTATTCTCTTTTTTGCTCTAAATCTGACCAAGTTCTAGCCAGCTCTACCCCAAAAGAGCATTCTTCCAGAAATGGCAAGGAGAAAGTCGGAGAATCATTGACTCCTTCTGAAAAGAAATCTGTTCCTATAAGCCCTAAGTCCACAAGTGCCTCAAAATTTGTTGTTCCTGATGATGATGCTCGATATTTTGATATTTTTGAAATGAAGGTGGGAATAGCATCTGGTGTGCCAGGTACAGGAGGATTATTCAGAAGTACTGAGCATCATGTCTATTATAAGTTGTTACTTGCTCGAGGGGTCATGAACAATAGGTTTGTGGATTTCGACTACCTAGAAAAGGCTGGCATTTCAGTAAAGCACCTGTTTGAGAAGTTAGGGATTTATGAATTTTGCCTTCAATCTGCCAATGTTTATGCTGAATTGACTGCCTACTTTTATTCCAATCTTTCCATTCTGTCACCCAACTGGATTCAATTCACTATTGGTGACAAGAAGATTGACTTAAAAGCGCATGAGTTGGCAAGGATAATTGGAGCCACACACTCCAATTTTACTCCATTGGCAGTGAATCTTGAAGAAGCTTCACAGGTGGCTTCTGAAAATCCAAACTTTGCTCACGGATCAAAGCGACATCTTTCCTACTCAGACTTGTCCAGACGATCTGTGATCTTGCATAAGATCATAATCAACTGTTTGAAGCCTAAAGCTGCCTCAAAAACTGACTTATCAAAATCAGAAATCAAGCTCATTTGGGCTATCTTAAAAGGTTAATCCTTCTCTCTCCCTCACATCATCATATTCCATATGTACAAAGCATTACAAAAGGACAAGGGTCAACTTCCATATGGTGCACTTATCACTAGAATCTTCATGTTCTTAAGGATATCTATTCCTGATGAGTTGCGCGAAAACATTATACCTTGCATGTTTGTTGGAGAAAAATGCTCTCCAAAATGAAGCAGTTTGATGATGTAAAAGACAGAGTAAGAGGAAAAGAGGCTCAACAGTCGGCGGCAAAATCTGTTGGAAAGAAAATTGAGAAAGAAAAAGAGCAAAGGAAAAGAACCAGTTCAGCCAGCAAGCAGCCTGACTCTCCTGCTCCAATCAAAGTGTACAGAAAATAAAGAAAAATTCTTCTGCATGATGAAAATGATGAAGCAGAAGCAGATCACTTTAAAACAGGAGGCCCAGAACATGTTCCCGAACAAGTTCCCAAAGTCTTAGAACCAATTCATGAAGAACATGTTTCTGAAGATCAAGCACCTGTTCAGGGGGAGAATCAACCAGAATCAGCCATAGGGTACAATCAGTCCGAGGAAGCTAATGTCCAAGGTCAGCCATCTGAAAATCAGAACATCCTTTCTATTCTGCTCGAGATTAAAGAAAAGCAAGCTGCTCTAGAACAAGATATGAAGAATCTGCAGAGAATTGTTGAGGAAAACAACAGGACTCAGCGACTTCAGGCAGCAGTAGATAAAGCAGAACTTGAGGAAACCATTGCCATGTGCTCATTCAACATGGATAAGGCTATTGGTCAATGCAGTTTGAAGATTGAGGAAGCTGTCTCTATTTTGGACAATTTTCAACTCGAGGAAGCTGTCTCTATTTTGGACAATTTTCAACTCATTCGTACCCCTTCTAAAAAATAGCCTGCTTTTTCACATTTCTCTTCAAAACATCTATTTTTTTCTTTTGGTCTGTAATATTTCTAACAATCCTTGTTAGACTGATTTTATTGCTTAGTATCAATGATTTATTCTCTCTCTCATTATTATTTTTGCTGATGACAAAAAGGGGGAGAAATTATATGCAGATTTGCAGGTTATATACAAAGGAAGAAAAAGACACAGCTATCAACAGAGTTTGCTCTTTCAATCTGTGCTTCATGAGCTTAATATGTTTATTTACTTTCAAATGAATTTCAAATTAATTCAATCTACAGGAAAGTTTTGTCACCATAAAAAAGGAGGAGATTGTTGAGGAAAACTCCTATTGATTTTGAAGTTGACAAAACCTTCCATGATATTGTAAATCTGATACTTATTCTGAACTAATTTATTCCAGGTATGTATATTCTGGAAGCTCAGAAGGAAGTTATTCAGACTTTACAAGCTGGCAAATACCTTATTGAAGACCCACATAATCTTAGTTCGAAGATTCGGACGAAGAAATTATTCGAAGCGAGACGAGGTTCTTGAGATGCGACGTTGGAATTTCTTGAGCTAATTCGAACGAAACAAAACAAACTAGTGATCCGGTATGGATTTCACGGAAGGAAAGTTTTGATTGTTTCAATCTAAGGCTATAATTGATTGACAATCAAACACTACGACAAGTATGCATTACAACGGATAAAGCTCTACTTATGGAAACCAAGATTCTGATTGTATGGGCGACCAGAATCAGCGGGATTCAGAATCTGTCATCCAACGGCTACTCAATCCTTTCTATACAAATCTATCCAAGGTGAAGATTGGTAGATGATCCTCTGAAAGCTGTCCAACGGCTAGTTTGGAAGTAGATGAGTATTTAAGGAGATCAACGAGCAGCAGAAGGATATACAGAATCAAGAATTATCAAGTCCAAAGTCTGAGCATACTCCGATCATTTGTCTTGTCTTTCTGAGCTAAACATCAAGATCTTGAGGGACACTTTGTAAGAGTGATTGTGTGAGATAAAGAGTCCTATTATACACAAGAGTGATAACACTCAGAAGTTGTAATTCCTCTTGATTACATAGTGAAATCCAGCCGGTACGCTGTAAGCGTGGGAGAGTGGACGTAGGCTTGCTATAAGCCGAACCACTATAAACTTGTGTGCAGATTCTCTATCCCTTATCTCTTACTTTACATTCTGCACATCAAGAGCACCATCTATACAATCTGTCTTGAATCTGAATTTTATTCAGACTCTTCTGTGATTTGTTTTGTTTCCGCGTAAATTTATAAAAATTGTTTAAGATCACTTATTCACCTCCCTCTAGGTGATCCTTGCTAGCTACATCACCCTTAACTTTATCTTGTTGAAGACCTTTAGAGAGCTGGAGGGGAAGTACATGGGTTATCTCTCAAGTCTCTTGGGGAAAATTGTGGAGCCTGTTGGTCCCCTTGCGGAAGACCCTATCAACGTAGAAGATGGAGATAGCATCATTGAGTGGCTTGACAAGAGAGAAAAATCTTCTACTATTTTTGTGTCATTTGGTACTGAATATTTTCTCACTGAGAAAGAAAGAGAAGAGATTGCTTATGGATTGGAGCTTAGTAATGTCTACTTCATTTGGGTCATTAGGTTTCCAGTAGGAGAGAGCACTGAGCTTGAAGAGGCATTGCCTGAGGAGTTTTTTGAAAGAGTGAGAGATAGGGGATTGGTCATAGATGGATGGGCACCACAAGGAAAGATTCTGGGGCATCCAAGCATTGGTGGGTTTGTAAGTCATTGTGGATGGAGCTCCATCATGGAGAGCATGAAATCCGGGGTCCCGATCATTGCAATGGCGATGCAACTTGATCAGCCGTTAAATGCCCGGATGGTCAAAGAGGTCGGGGTCGGATTGGAGGTGAAGAGAAATAAGAGTGGAGAGCTTGAGAGATTGGAGATAGTGAAGGTGATCAAAGATGTGGTGGTGGAGAAAGATGGAGACAGTGTGAGGAAGAAGGCAAAAGAAATGAGTGACGGTATTAGGAAGAAAGGAGAGGGAGAATTAGATGAAGTGGCTGATGCGTTGGTCCAACTTTGTGTGGGACATAAAGAACAATATGTGTCAAAACGAAGCCATGTTATAGGTATTTGAATGGGTATGGGGTGCGTCTATAGTCCCCTGACTGTAACCTTGCCATTGTTATGCTGTGCAGGTTTTTCAATATATGTTGTGACTTTTTGATTATTTGTATTGTAGTAGTGGCATTCTAATTAGATTCTATAATAGCAATGAGACAGCGGAAGAACCCATGTTTAGATATATGCATTTGCTAACGAATTTACCATTGTTATCCCGGTTTTGTGTCTGTTTACCGACGTCAAACAATCAACTTTTCTAATCGATAGAAGTGGGAGTATAACAAACTACATACGAATGGTCATAAATTGCAAGCCTTTAAAAAGTTGCACCATTGTTGCGTAAGTAAGCGATCGAACGATAAAATAGACAGAATAAAAAAATAAATTGGACACCAGATTTACGTGGTTCGGTCGTAGTGACCTACGTCCACGGGAAGAGAAGCACGAAATTCCACTATAGATCAAGCGATATAATGGAATTACAATCATGCTTAAGTCACTCAAATACTCTAAGTATTTTCAAGCCCTCAATTACACCAAATAATTTACGTAGTGTTTAGCCCCATAATTCCTCACGAAATAATATCTCAATCTTACGAAAGAATTACTCACAAATCTTACAACAAGATTTAATTGGCTTCAACACTAAAAGCTCTCAGAGTATAATTCACAAGCAGAAGCTCCTCTTTGATACTTTTCATAAAAAGTCACACTTCTTATATATAGACAAGAGCATGATCCAAAATAGGAAACTTCTTTTTAGGAAACCTTCTCCAACTAGGAAACCTTTTCCAATTAGGAAACCTATTCAAAATACGAAAGCTACTTGAATTAGGAAATTTTCCTTTTTTGGGCTCAAAATCGAGACATAATTTTAACAATCTCTACCTTGACTCGACGATTGAGTCAAGTTACAATCGCTTTGCAAAAATTTGAACTTCACTGCTACTCCCCCACAGCCCCCAATGGGCTCAACCGCCACAAACATCTTCCAAGTCCAAGCCTCGCTTGAACTTTACCATAACTGTGGATCTCATCAAAATACCAACTCCATCTGCACCTTTAATTACTCCGCAAGGATTTTCCGACATAACCTCATTTACCACAGATAAAGCAAAACCACCATTGCATCTATATGTGTCAAAAGATTGAACACGCACCTTGTTAAACTAAGCAGTTACAGCAACCATTGGTTCTGTAGGCTCCATCTCGCTACAAGCATCATCTATGTCGATAACTTCGCTAGTACCCACTCCTTCAGGAGTTTCTGGTTCCAACTCCACCTCAAGCTGAACACTGTCTAGATCCGTATAAACATTACTATAATACTCCTTGCCAAAAGTACTGGAGATTCGTCAAACGTAACTTCTCTGCTAACAATGGGTGAAGTTAATTCCGGGCACCATAATCGATAACCTCGCTCACCTTGTACATAACCTAGGAACATGCACTTTCTTACCATTTCATTGAGTTGACCATCACTAACTCGAACATAACACGGACAACCAAATATTCTAAGAACAGAATAATGAACAACGTTACTTGACCACACTTCTTCGGGAGTCTAACATTCAATTGCAGTCGATGGGGATCTATTCTTCAGGTAGTTCGCCGTACTAAGTGCATCCACCAGAAATTTCTAAGTCATACCAGCACTAGAGATCATTTTATGGGCCGTCTCTAGTAATGTTTTACTCATTAACTTTGCAACCTTTTGTGGTTCACTGGTACTAGTGCAGTGTCTCACTATGCTTTCTTTCATGTAGAATTCATTTAATAGCTTCAAACAAAACTTCATACTGTTGTCAGTCCACACATGCTTGATCATCTTACTAGTCTCTCTCTTTTTTTTTTTTTTTTTATCAAAGCTCTCAACTACTTGATCCTGACAGCAGCATTAAACTAGTGACTCAGCATAAACACCCAGGTCCTCAGCGAGTAGTCATCCACAACTATTAGCATAAATCTGACACTCTTCCTCGAATGTAACCGCGAAAACTTGTGACGAATTAACTCTACACATTCCGTGGTTTCTTTGACAGTCGCACTGAACTGTACTTTTTGTCACTAATCTAAGTTACAACACCTGCATACATTTAGTTCGTCAACAACATAACCGCATAGCAAATTTCTTTCACTTAAAACCTTCAGGCTTTTCTCGCAAATGTACCCCAAACATATATGCTACAATTTAGACTCTCGAACAGATGCATTCAACGTCTTCGCGGCGAATTTTGACACTGTCTCACCTTGAAGTTCATACATGCCACTATGCTTGATTCCTTTCATTATCACTATGGCAACTTGAAGAATCTTCAAAACTCCACATTCTGAAGTATACTGAGACCCAGCTGAATCCAAGGTACTCATGGAAATCAAATTTTTCTTCAACTCTGGAACGTGCCTCACTTCAATCAATGTCCACACAATACCATCATGCATTATGATTCTAATATCACCAATACCTATAACATCGCACTCAAAGTTGTTCCCCAACTGCACTTTACTACTATCTGTGCACTGCTAAGTAGTAAAACGGTTCCTGTTTGATGTAGCGTGAAACGAACAACCAGAATCCATAATCAATCCACTAAAAGATGAATAATCAGTGCTAGACAAAACAAAATCAGCACTATCCGAATTACTATCTGCTATAACTGCAATATCATCCATAGACTCGACTCTAATTTCCTTACTCTTCTCGTTCCTTAGTTTAAGGCAATCTCTTCTAAGTTGCACCCTCTTATCATAACTCTAACAGACAATACCACTAGTTCTACACTAACTATGTCTATTCAAGTTTAAACTACTTCTGCTAACAAGTGTACTATTTCTTCCTTTATTTTCACCTACTAAAGTAGAAGATACAGGTTCACTAGATTCTCTTTTACGGATGTCCTCACTCAGAATCAAATTACGAACCCTATCAAACGTCAAACTCGTTGACCTAAATGATTTACTACCAGTAGTAACGGTAGTATTCCAGCTATCAGGCAATGATGATAATAGAATCAAAGCACATACCTCATTTTCAAAGTCAATCTCAACTGAACTCAATTGATTAACGATTACATTGAATTTATTAATATGATCAGCAACTGACGCACCTTTGCTTATCTTCAAGTTAAACAGACATCGCATCAAATAGACCTTATTAATTGCAGAGAGCTTTTCGTACATGTTCGACGGGGCTTCCATCAAACTTGAAGTGATCGTCTCTTTCATAATGTTAAACGCGACGTTACCAGCCAACATCAGCTGAATAACACTTAAAGCTCGTCTATCCAGCAATTCCCAGTCAGCTTGCTTCATCGTCTCTAGCTTCTACCAGATAGGGGCAAATGCAGTTTCATTTGATAGAGATAATCCTCAATTTGCATCTTCCAAAAATCAAAGTCCTTCCCATCAAATCTGTTGATTTTCACTTTTCCTTCTTCTGTCACCACCGATTCGCTTCAATTCAGCCAAGACTATAAAATAGACAAAACAAGAAAATAAATCAGATACCTGATTTATGTAGTTCGATTTTAGTGACCTACGTCCATGGGGAGAGCAGCACGAAATTCCACTATAGATCAAGAGACACAATGGAGATTACAACCACGCTCAAATCACTCAAACACTCTCAGTGTTTCCTAGTCCCCAATTATATCCAATAACTCACGCAATATTTAGCCCCACAATTTCTCACGAAATAATCTCTCAATCTCTCGAAAGAATTACTCACAAATCTTAGAACAAGATTTAATTAGCTTCAACACTGAAAGCTCTTAGAGTGTAATTCATAAGCAGAAGCTCTTCTTTGATACTCTTCATAAGAAGTCACACTTCTTATATATAGACAAGAGCACGATCCAAAATAGGAAACCACTTTTTAGGAAACCTTCTCCAATTAGGAAACCATTCAATTAGGAAACTTATTCAAAATAGGAAATTTACTTGAATTAGGAAACTTTTCTTTTTAGGTTCAAAATCTAGACATAATTTTAACAATCATAATGCAAATCATTAGAATTGAGTTGGAGAATCGGCTATCCTATAAGTTTTCATATATGTTGAAAGGAATATAAGAATTTGAAATGTAGAGAGTTCGATTTTAATATCATGATTTATCTGTACTGAAAGCTTTAATTGTTATGCAACTCTTGGGGTTGAATATAGAGTCTGAGTATGGACTACGTTACTATTATCCTATTCGGTTTTCTAGGTAGTCTTCCAAAGAGATGTCAGACAAAGCCGAATATAGCCTAGGTAAATCAAAGAGATGCAAAAACTTCAGCGGACCGTGTAAAAGATTAAAAATGACCCCAAGGACCCACTCCATCTTGGCCTTTAGTTTGTGTAATTAAGTTCAGATTCTCACGAATTCAATTTGTATGTGTAATTATTTCATTTGTACGATTCAAAGTAAAAAGTAAGTCTTTGAAAATATTGTTGAGTGACCAATTTTAAAGACATGTAATACTACCAAATTCTTGTTTATATTTGTTAGGGTAAAATGTTTATTTCACTCGCCGTTCTATATATTTTTTTTTTGGTCAAATAAGTACCATTTCATTCATTCATTCAAAGCCATACTAAACAAGTGTTGATGACAAGAGTCAAGGTATAATAAATCCCAAAGTTGTTGGGATGGCTTAGATAGCCAATTACATGAGAGTATCCTTTTCCGTTTGGCCTTTGCGGTCTAATCTGCAACTTGGTTGGCTTCTCGTGAGATGTGGGCTAAGGAAACGCTTTTCAATTGAGCTAGTAAGTCTTTGCAATCCTAAAAAAAACTCCTCACCGCAGGAACCATGGGCTTTGCCTTGGTTCAGCTGAGAATTTAACAACAGATTCATTATCTGTTAGAACTCCCAAGTGCAGCACATCATTTTGCCTTAGTTCGATGGTACCCACTAGCCACACCAACGCTTCCTTCAACGCTAGAGGTTCGATCTCAAGGGCTGAAGAAGCTGCAAAATTCTTTGCGAATCCAGCCATTATTGCTCCCCAGTAATCTCGACACACTTTCGCTGCCGATCCCTCTACAGAGCTGTCGATCCAAGACCCATCCAAGTTGAATCTCCAGACCCCCTTTGCTGGTGATGACCATCGCTCGGGTAAGATTTTTTTCTCCGTCCACCGATTTGGCGCTTGTATGTTCCACCGGCGGAAGGCGTTGGTTAGTGTTTGGGCATCTTCGACAATTGTTTCTGGGTTGGGTTGTCTGTTCTGGAATACAAGTGCATTTCACGCTTTGCAAATTAGCCATAGAATTCCAACGACCCATTCTCGAGAAGGAGGACTTGCTCTTGAGATAATCAATTCATCTACCCATTTGTCTATCCTTGTGATGTTCATTGGAGATGCTTCCACATTTAGCCTTCGATCTGACCAAATTGCCTTGGTCCAGTCGTATAGGACGAAAATATGTTCAGTAGTTTCTGGGGTATTCCGACAAATCGGACAGAGCAGGTCAGGTACTACTTTCCTTTTGCACAAGTTCTCCTTCGTGGGTAGGGCATTTTGGCACATGCTCCACAAAAAAATGCGAATTTTAGGGTCGGCGTGTAGCTTCCATATCTTAGTCGATAGGGACCGAGGTGGCTGGTATGATGAGGATGCTTGTTCTATGTCTAACTTTGATAGTGATGAGAGTAGTTTGTTGTATCCCTGCTTCACCGAATACTCCCCCGTAGTGTTTCCTGTCTAGACATGTTGATCCCCTTCTGAGTTCGGCCTGATCCGAATGGCAAATGGAGAAAATATTGATATAAGAGAGGACAAATGGCTAGAGTTCGGTGTTATCGGGGGTCCATCCAACTGAGAAGACCCCCAAAGAGTTGCAGATTTAATCGACCAAAGATCGAATATGTGGAATGAACACCAATTGCAGGAGCTATTTGAAGAGAACATTGTGAAAGAAATACTCCCCATTCTATCCCGCTTCACACTTTCGTCCTTTTGCCATCCCTAGTGGCACATATTAGGGGTGAGCGTGGTCCGGGCGGGCGGTTCTTGACATGGAACCGGGAACTGCCCACTAAGGACCGGTTCCGAGAAATTGGAACCGGGAATCGCCCATTGATTCCATATATCCACTCAGAAACTGGACCGCCGGTCAGGTCCGGTTCCCAGGTGGGTCCATGGAATCAGTCCCACCAAGTTTCACGCAAATGAAGGTGACCGAGAGTGAGAGAGGGAGGTGATAAACGGCTAAAGGCGCGGCCGTGAGTTGACGGGAGTTGAGAGTCAAGTTTTAGATTAGGGATTTTATGGTTTTCATTTTTCTAAAAATGTTTTCTTTTTTTTTTTGGGTTAAAATTTTTCTAAAAAATTATATATATATATTTATATATATTACTGGTCAGATCCGGGTGGGCGGTGAGCGGTTTTATGCCTAGAACTGGGAACCGGACTGGTACTCACCGGTTCTAATAAATTAGAACCGGGAACTGGACAGGTCCTCACGGGAGCCGCCGGTTCCTGGTCTGTTCGATCCTGTTCTGGGCGATCCACGCAGTTTCTGGTTCCTTTGCACACCCCTAATACATACCCAGGAGTGGGAGTTGGATTTCCGACACCAGTGAGCTTCTTTTTCGGGCAGAGGTAGCTTTAGTTACGATGCATATGAGCCAGCTCAACTGTATAGTCGGATCAGATAGGTCCCATGTGAAACTTGTCACATGTACCAAAAGCTCCTAAGGAGCAAGTCGCCATGATTAAGTCTAATCTCACTCTTTAGCGGTGGATTATAATTTATCTACCATTCTTCTCAGACAATCATTGAATTCCCTGCGAAATCCATCTTTTACGATTCTATGAGTGGAAACCCATCAAATCTGTGTGCGGAAATCTTTGAATATTATACAAATACCGTCTTCTCTCACATGACTTGAAGTAGTTTACAAACTTTGAAATGTCATATTTTTTATGGCATCACAGGTGACGATAATCTCTCTCCCGCATATGCCATTACGTAAATGCCAAATCCTACTTGGACTCAGTCTTCTTGTTTGGGCGGAGACGAAAGTGTCTTGATTTGATATCTCATATATATGTGGAGGAAGAAATATTAAAGAAAGAAGAAAGAACCATGACAGATGATCAAATACGCCATTTTTCTATAAATAGCCATTTGAAATCAAAATGATCAAAAGCTTGGAGCCAGCAATAATCAGCTAAGAGAGTCACACACACGAGAAAAATCATATCGACCATGGCTACGACAAGAAGAACCATTAGGGTTCTCATGCTTCCATGGCTCGCTCATGGTCACATAGGTCCATTTCTAGAGCTAGCCAAGAAGCTCTCAAAGAGGAACTTCCACATCTTCCTATGTTCAAGTCCTGTCAACCTTAGCTCCATCGAAATCCCTCATGAATATTGCTCCACCATTGAGCTAGTAGAGCTCCATGTCCCATCTTTGCCTGGTCTCCCTCCTCAATACCACACAACTAGGGGCTTACCGCCTCACCTTATGCCGAAACTCAAGACAGCCTTCGACATGGCTGGCCCTAACCTCTCCGACATCATCGCTGATCGCCAACCCAATTTGCTTATCTTCGATTATCTCCTCTCATGGGCGCCTGAAATTGCGAGGTCGCATGGCATCCCGGCGGTCAACTTCTCGAGCGTGGCAGCAGGGATGAGCACATACGTGTTCCACTCCATCAAGAGGCCGGGCGATGAGTATCCTTTCAAGGCGATTCGTCTTCAAGACCATTGGATGGAAAAATATAGGAACCAAGTAGAAGAAGCATCAGAGAGTGGCATGAGCACCACGGAAAGGGTCGTGCAGTGCATGAACCATTCATCGGGCCTAATTTTCATGAAGACCTTCAGGGAATTGGAGGGCAAATACATTGACTACCTAAGTGATCTTTTGGGGAAGAAAGTCGTGCCCGTTGGCCCACTAGTTCAAGACCCTGTCCAAGAGGATGGGAATCACATAATTGAGTGGCTTGATCAAAAGGAAAGATCGTCGACCATATTCGTGTCCTTCGGCACGGAATACTTCCTCACAGAGAAGGAAAGAGAAGAGATAGTCTATGGGTTGGAGCTTAGCAATGTCAACTTCATTTGGGTGGTTAAATTTCCTGTTGAAGAGCACATCAATCTTGAAGAGGCACTTCCTGAGGGATTTCTTGAAAGGGTGAGAGATAGAGGACGTGTGATAGAGGGATGGGCACCGCAAGCTAGAATTCTTGCACATCCAAGCGTGGGTGGTTTTGTGAGTCACTGTGGATGGAGTTCGGTCATGGAAAGCATGAAGTTTGGAGTCCCAATCATCGCGATGCCGATGCATCTCGACCAGCCGCTCAATGCGAGGCTCGTTGAGGACATCGGCGTCGGATTGGAGGTGATGAGGAATGAGAGTGGAGAGCTTGAGAGAGAGGAGATTGCGAAGGTGATCAAGGCTGTTGTGGTGGAGGAAGGTGGGGAGTGTGTGAGGAATAGGGTCAAGGAAGTGAGTATCGGCATTAGGAGCAAAGGAGATGAAGAGATTGATGAAGTGGAGGATGCGATTGTGAAGCTTTGTGGAGTAGCGACTGGTAGCGTTTGACTGTCCGTTGAGTTCCTGTTGTAGCTTTCATAATTATGTATGCCGAGGTCAAAATTTTTATCGCGCTGCTCTTTCCTAGAGTAGCTTGTGTTTGGATTACAATCCAGACGCACGTCCCCATTGTATGAGAGAAGAATAAAATTCTATTTTCTGAAATTATACAATCTTTTTTCTTGTATGTTGCCTTGAGTTAATATACCGACAACAAAACGTCATGCATAATTTAGAGTTGCTACTTGAGTATTCAAAAATCACAGAATACAGATATATGCCTGCACTTTGCATGAGTTAGGCATCTAGTTATTATCAAGCCTTGGTTACAATTTGTCACATTGTTTAATATTTCAGCTTTGCGGACCAATTTGTATCTCATGGTCCTTTCCGATGACCTTGTTATCTTTTTTCATTTTGAGTACATCAGTATCTTATATTATCATGGAAATATGACCATTCCATATAGCAAAAAAGGTTAAAAAACAGAGTCAAGCTTGTAACACTTAGCCCTTTAGACCTGCTTCCACGCACGTCCATCAACGCAACGTTTCCGCTTCTGTCCCCCATCCCTCGGTCACGTTTCGTGCACATACATCCCCATGAAAAGATAGCCTCTGAATCACCGTCCTCTTCCCATATTAACCTATGCACACTTGCTGAACGTTCCGATCCTTTAACCAACCCTAGAACAAACACCCAAAAAACATAGTGAACTAGAAAAAGCAAGAAATGAGCCCGCATAGAGACACATCGACAAGCAGAGCCCAAAAGGCCAAAAGGCCCAAAAGGCATGGTGAGTAAGCAGAGCCCAAAAGGCCCAAAAATTTAAAGAATAACGATCTTATCTCATTATTGAAGTGAAAGTTAAAGATCAAGACCATCATTACTTCGGCTTTATATAAACGAAATTTTTTTATAACATTAACAAGTCGTTTTCTTCCTTTTATCTTTTTTTTTATTTCTATAATTGAGTGTTCAAATATTTATTATTGAATTGCATGTGCGAGTTGTGTTAAAAAAAATCTAAAATATAGGAATTGATGTGGTGTGGGAGCAGTTAATATGTCATAGTTAGTTAATAACTTATTGGTTTATGATTTTGAGTGAATCTGGTCTAATTGGATATGTTGATATGCTCGGGCTTGGACTCCTTCTTAGTGATCTCCTCGGATGAAGGTATCGAGTTTCTATTATATGCTCTCAATAAGTAGTATTAGAGCCAATGGTAGAGATTGGTGGGCTCCCAATCTGTTCAAGTGTTTGGTGAATATCTCAAGGAATGAATTTGATGACCATCGCGATTTTTGAACGGTGGGTGTTGCGGTGTAACAATGCGGTCCAAGTGGCAGCCTCCATAATTCGGTATAAAGAAAAAGATCAGGGATGAAGGTGGGAGCTCAAGATTTAAGTTGAGATATCTTGATGCTAAAAGATACTTGAATTAAGGGAGAACAAACTTAACAACGAGCTCACACATTAGGAGGAGATTGTTAAGTTGCAAGTGTGAGTAGTGTTAGAAAAAATCCCACATTAATGTGGTGTGGAGCAGTTAATATATCATAATTGATACATAACTCATTGATTTAAACTTTTGAGTAAATGTAGGTTCAACTGGATATATTGACGGGCTCGGACTTTGGCACTCTTTTGGTGATCTCCTGAATATATCAAGCTTTTGCTGCACGCTTACAATATTTATTCTATGAAATGTGGACTATCAAAGAAATAATGTGATCTAGATTTGAATCCAATATGCATGTATGCTTTAGTCCTACGTGTTATTGGAGAAATCAAAGTAATATAGCTGGTTTTCTTCTTTTATTAAATTAGAGAGTTGAGAGCAAGATGCCCTCAGTATTACTCTTTGGTTAAACAGGTTGAACGTGGGTTATTTCCAAACCTACTATAACTCATCATTAGTGGGTCTTTGGTTTATTATACCCATTCCTACTTAAATACTAATCATAGGCAATCCATATATCATTGAAGCCATTAAAAATGAGTTGAAATATGGATCAATAATCCAGTTTGTCACCTTTATTAAACAGGAACAAAGGCCATAAGGTCCATGACTCCATACAACACATTGTTTTTCAAAAGATCGATTTGATACCAACAGACTCAATGCAAATAGACACCAATTTGCATCCCGCTTAAGCCTGCAATTGCACAATTCAACAATTTCGAAAAGATGATATTGAAGCTCTATTTATTTCACGCAAAACATAAAATAGGAAAGAAAATAATTTTTAATTCCGTTTGTTTCGCAGAAAATAAACTATGCTGAAAGATTTTCCTCTTCTTAATTGTTTATATCACTTAGAAAAATGAGTTCACAAAAAATATTTTCATTATCAATAAAAATGTTTTACACTAAAACTGTTGAGTGATGGAAATATTGTTCATTAGGTCATATGTCTAATTGATAAAAACAACATAATTAGGAAACTTACTAATTTTTGCGTTAAAAGGAGCCTAAAAGGAAATTAAAATCACTTATTATATAATATCATCTACTCAATACTGTATCACAATCTCTTAAAGCTCGTTTAGATAATTGGTAGCTCTGTCGTGATGTGGTTGTTTCGTGACAGGTATGATTGGTAATACAAAAAACTGCAGTACCTAAAAGCTGGGTGGAGCAACTTCTCAAAAGCTGTTGGAAGTTGCCTGTACCGTGGATGTTTTACAATGCTAATTTGCTTATTAAACACCTTATAAAACTAGCAGCCGAAACCCCATGCAGAATTATATTGAATAGATTGCTTAGCATTTTACAATTGATAGAACCAAGACATTTCCTTAGGGTGACAAGTGTCAGTCAGCCGATCATGGGGGTTCTAGTTGACCTTATGCTTTTGTTATCCATCTTTCGTGAATTATGTTCATCAAAAGTGTATGATTTTGTGGATTGGACTGTATAGTCTGTCTTCAATACTAGTTCTCCTAGTTCGGAGCCATGTCTGGTTCGGATGGTCATGGAAGCAACCGTCTTGCTGATGAAGATCAAGGGATGCAGGCCTTGTGGACTAGTCTCGAGGCATCTCAATAGACCATAAAACAGGATCTGGGGCGAACTCTAGACATATCCGCAGAGTGGCTTGGTCTTGGGGCTGGATTCTCCAACTTTTGTAAACGAATTCCATTCCAAGCTCCATCTCAATTGTCAGAATCTCCTGAAGGGGCAATAGGAGCAGACTGAGTACAGAAGAGTACCCCGACGATCGAGGGATGGGGAACCCAAACGGGACTAGCGAAATGGTGCATGGCTGAGTGATGGCCGTGGCCAATTGTTTGATAGATCTTATCCCACGGTTCGTTATAGCAAGCAAGTACATGAATTCTCAGATTACGGTGAAGATAGCCATTATCATCGTCGTCTCAGAAAATTGCATGAATTTCGTGACAAGATTTCCTTATTTCAATAACTATACAAATTTGAATTTTTTTTGTTGCAGACCTAGATCTATTTTTCCATGACACATGCATACCTAAAAATCAGCAAGCAAACTCTGTGGCTTGTAGATTTAAGGGAGACGCCTCTTTTTGGAAGGATAGCTTGCAAGTGGAGCGACAGAGAAGGGAAATCCCCGGTTAAAAAACATGGCGAAAATGCGGATGTTGTTAAACTGACAATTTTCAGTGGATTGCACATGATCAAAATTTTCTATGTCCTTCTTAAAAGTTGCAGGGGCAGGAGCCAGGAAGTATCAATAGAAACTAAAGTTGAAGGAGAGAACACAGTGAGAATTTCATGGAAGTGACCGATCCGATTCCTGAGCCAGTTGGAAATAGTGTTGGAAGGTTTTGAACCGATTCCTACAAAAGGAAAAGAATGAAGCTTATGGTGGGGGTCGAGAACAAGACATATAAGCAAGAATATCATGGATCGGAAGATATTTGCTTAATGGAATGATGCAACATTTTAGAACTTGAGGTCCAACTTTTTCAAACGGAGGAAATATGATGGGGGGAATGTTTGATTTGTTGATGATTTTTCGTTTAGAATTCAAATAGACAGAATATGCCCCCGTCCTTCGTCTGTTTTCACTCTACATCGTGAAGTTTCAATCATCTATATCTTTTGTTTTATCTACGTAGCAGTAGAGTCTGCTACCAAATTACCTACTGATGTTGACGCATCGCAGTTGGCTACAACAAATCACGTTTGTCTGCTAGCTGCCACCGCCACTCCTCGGACAACTCCATCTTCATGAACTGTCGCAATGATGATGTGAATTTGTGAAGTCACGGGTCACATTGATTTGTCCCTCTCTAAAGTTGGTTCCGTGACATTTGACCTTACTCGGTGCGTAAGATTCAGCTTTTGAGAAAAAAAATTGGAAAAATGAAAGGAGTTGTAAATTAAAGGAATTTTTCGAAATATAAATAGTACTTAATAAATTATAATTTAAAAGTATGTTGGGAAGCAACTTTAATTTAAATGGTATTTGAAAAGAGCATACTTTGTAATGACTTTTGCTATTTTTAAAAAAATCTCAAAATCGACGAAGGGCTAACGATTGTTAGTTTACGCGATCTCATGCGAGGCCTTGCCGGCAGCCAGATATGGCCTCGCTGACGACCTTGAGCAAGGTGAGGGCAATTCTAGAATTATGAAAGTTTAGCGAGGGCAAAGTTGGAAGAAAAGAAATACATTTGCATTCAGGAAATGCTCAAATCTCAAAGCACCTCTGAACCTGCCTTGGGTTAAAAACCTTTGGAAATACAATTGCACATCTCCAAAACTCTTTTAGAGTAAAAAGCCCATTAGAGAAATAGTTCCCAAGTGCACCCTTAATTCATGCAAGGACTGAAAATCCTTGAAATCAAAATGCTTTCATCGTCTGATTTAGGTCCACCAGATAATCTTAACTAAATTAAAGCTCCGTTTGTTTCATAAAACATGATTGATTTGGATATTATTTTCCTATTGCTTGTATTGTTTATAAAAATAAGTGAACGAAATTTTTTTTTCATCGTTTATGAAATGTTTAGACATAAATTATTGTGACCCACCCACCTATGGGTAGCTCAGTTGGTTATGGCGTACTTGGGATTGTGTGGTTAGGCGCACTGGTTCCAGATTCGATTCCCCAGCTGAGCACTTGTGATTTAAGTGGGGGGCCATGGCGGTGGGTTGTTGTGCTAGTCTCCCCCGA